AATATCATTGGCTTGAAATGGCTGTGCGTTGAATTTAGGAAAGAAAATGCAAATTTCGAGTGACATGAATTAAAAGTGATTTACTTGTCATTGAAAAAATAAAAGTTCTGTCAAATAGCATAAAATATTGTATTTGTTTGAGATTTGTCAGATTTTGTTTACTTTTAACAACCAGGTGAAATTGCCTTTTTCTCATGAGTCAGTTTACTGTAGTACATGTCTTGAATGACATGTATACAAGCTTTAATATTTGAGTTGCTGGTAGTATAATTCCACAGAAAGCGATAACGCTGTGATTGGTGTTTCTGTGTTTACATCTGTACATATTTGATACTGCATTCAGTGCCACTTGGCTTGGGAACCAGGCATCAAAGGCGCTGGAAGTATATTTTTAATAGCAATCATTTTAGCAATCCTGTGTACAGTTGATGTAATATATTTATTCATTGTGTTCACGTTTCGTTGCAATCTCATTGTGCGTAAGCCTGGATATTCTATCTGTTTGTGGTTACATATTTCATGATTTCTTTTCCATCTTAACTCCAATCGATTAAATAATGTTGAGTTTTTTCCATGTAATTTTATTTGCCTTTTTTAAAAATATGTATGAATATCATGCTGGATTAAAATATTTCATGAATCATCTCTTGACCTTTCTTGCTTCTGTCATTCATGGTGTGAAGTTGTGAACAACTGTGAAAAAAGAACGGTGTAGAAATTGCTGAGACACATTTCTTAGATGTAATGAAACATACATCTTTATGGATAACACCTATTTTTCCTTATCCTGACTCATGCCTATTATGCTTATCTCCTTCTTCTATGTGAATGATAGTGGAACGCTTGAATCCCTTGTAGTTCCCTTGAAGAGGACGTGTAAGTTCACTCACCCACGAGTTGCCGCCCTTGAACCCTTTTCCCGCTAAAACAGTCATGTGACTTGCCATGCTTGTCACTCTCTCCTTCATCGACCAAGCGGATGGTTGGGCGAGCACTAGTGTCCGTATACGTCACCATATCCTTTTTATATTTAGATCCTTTATCCAAATTAAGCTGTGTGTGGTTTTTGGCTATATTTAACCTTCATGGTATGTCAAAATTTTGAGAAAATTATCCATATTCTGTGACATTTATTCATCATAATGTAGTTTGTATACGTTTGATTTTGCAGCTACCGGTTATCAGCGACTGATCCTCACCCCTAATGCCCGTCACGCATTAATCCATGTTCTTCCAGCTTGTGTTGCAGATATGCAATTTATGCAAATCAGATTTGCAATTTAATCGTTATTTGTGTTATATCTATAGACGTACGATGGACCGGGTGAGGAAGTCATCTCAAGTCACTGGTGATAAATCTGGAGATAATGCCGGTAACCGGTAACCGTATGTTGTTAACTACTGCTGAAATTCATAACTCGGGTGATTTGCAGAGTACGTTACAGGGGCAGTCGTCTGTTGCTGGTCAGGATTTAGCCGTGTCTAAGAACAGGTCTGCTACTACTGAGTCGACGCCATCGGAGAGTAAATGGAACATCTCATCATCTTCGGCACAGAAGAAATCGTCTTTATCTAGGACCTCGTCGAAGTCAACTCGTTCCAGTAAAACAACGCATCAGAGGTCGTTCAATGAAGACATTGTGCCTCCTGACAAAGCAGACGTATATGCAGACCCTCCGATACTGCTGCCTGAAATACCAGTAAGATCTGCTAGAATGTTGACGCAGTCTACCTCCACGGCGAGACAATCGTCTCCTGCAACCACGACAGCTGCTCAGCTGTTTGAAGACCAGCCTCCAGCAACGCAGACGTCTGTCAGCAGAGACAACACCTTCGACAACGCTTCGTCCACACTGCATCAGTTCCAGCCTACAACGCAGAACTTCGACACGGGCGACTTCATGAAGCAGTTTACAACGCAGATGATGGCAATGATAAAGCGCCGAAGAGAGAGCTGCGAGTCAGAACACTACGATGACAGACAGCGTTCGGGGAAGCATTGGTCTTCGAGAACCTGTTCCTGAGAACTACATCCTTGTCCCACAAGTCTACGGCCGAAGACGACGTTCGTGAACACTCACGTTCTAGAAGATCTTCACGTTCGGAAGACTCAGCTGTCATGGGGGAAGAGGAAGAAGGTTCCACGAACGTCCCTGAGACTACAAGAGACTATGAAGTCACGTCAGCGAACCCTCAACGTCCGAGAACGTCAAGCGGAGAAAGAAAAAGGGAATCCTCTTCGAGATCCAGTCGCTCCATATCAGAATCCCTCAGCTCCCACAGACATAGATCAGCATCATCGCGGGATGGAAACGACAGACGTTCGGAGAAGGGGGGACGTTAGCGAAGGGAAGGTTGGCGAAAGAAAGGTTCGTGAAAGGAAGGTTCACAAAAGGAAGGCACAGTTCGGCGGACGCGGACTATCTGAGGCAATATATACAGAGGAAGAGGGTGACTACGTCTTCTCGGAAGCAGAGGTCACATCTTGGATCGCAAATGGCTTGGACTTGGCGTCCCCCTCCAAGGAATCGAATGCAGCGTCCACAAACAAGATTGCTGGAGGATGACTTCGACACCCTCACGATTCCACCGATTGAACCGTTCTCCAAGGTGTCTGCAAACCTCCGTACAGCATTTGAGAAAGCAACCCGGTAGAAGTCTGATTACCTGGCGTCGACGTCGGCGGGTCTCACCCTACTACGAAGACAAGTTCAACAAACCTCTACTAAGAGACTATGAGATCCTTGGGCGGCGCCTACTATCTTCGGCGGGGAGATCGACGATGTTGTCATCTATGGCCGACAAATGAGTATGATTGCCGATGGTTTTGGAGAAAATGCCTGCTTACTGTCGAGGAAATGATTTGTAGATGTTGCAATAAGGTTTTAGACCCGTGGAATGACGCTGCCGATCGAATCTAGCCCTACATAGGTGCTGTCAACGTGGCTGGAATTAATAAACGAATTTAAAATGTGAGTTTTGGCTGTCTTGGGTGATCCATGATTTTGGCTTGGAATTGCGGAGGTAGCTGTTTTCGGGGAGTCGTGGCGTATAATGAAATAATAACTGAAATAATTATCCGATTGTGACCATTTGTAGCTCATTTTGTAGGGAAATCATCTCGCTTTTTAATCCTCGACGGGGCCTTAAAAATAGTTTACGTGGTGAAATCTAACTTAGATTGAGGAGGGGGTGGTTGCGTCGTTACATGCCTTTCCTTTTATATAGTACTAGGGTAGGGTCTATATACCTATGTCTTTCTAACGCTGTTCCTAAGCGTGACACGCCCCTGTGGCCTAGCCCTAACTTTAGTATTGACCATGTGTACTTGCTACTGTGATACTGTTTGAGTGAGTGAGTTTAGTTTTACGCCGCCTTTAGCAATATTCCAGCAATATCACGGTCTGGTACACAAGAAATGGACTTCACACATAGTACCCATGTGGGGAATCGAACCGGGCCTTCTCCGTGACGAGCGAACGCTTTAACAACTGGGCTACCCCACCGCCCCTGATACTGCTTGAATGTTGCTGATCCAGGAGTATGCAGGGCTCTCTCAGTGCGCACCCTTGGGGTCACCATGTCAGCTGAATGGACCGTCTGGTCAGTTGGATCAGCACGTGGCTTAGAGGATTTAGTGTTGGCTAGACCAAGGCTCAGACCAATACATATATATTTAGGTTTCCGGCCAATTTATATTTCCTGTGGGGTTGCAACAACATTTCACATTGGTTTATTTCCGTAACCTTGATAAAATCAATGCGTTCCACTAATGGCACGAATGCAAAGATCGAAGCAAACGTAAAATCCTCATTTGAAGCAATCATGCTTGGAGTTCAACCAACCAGCCAACCAATCCATATGATTTTGTACAGGATTTGAATGTTTGAAGAAGATTCTACTGGGACGCCTTAGATAAGTTCCATTTGTGAAGAAAGTGTACCATCAACACACACTTGGACCACCCAAGTTGGAGAATGGTTTATAGTTCCTTATGGCTTCTGGATCCAATGTTCAATTGGGAGTCTTCAGGAGAGGCGTTGTCGGAACAGTCGTCACTGATGAAGAGATCTTGCCCTCTGCCATGGACATTTTAATCATATAAGACAAGGAACAGGATCCTGTCGTCAGATATAATGGTAACTTGATAATAAATTTATACAAGATATTAGAAAGGTTATCGAAATGTCACTCGTTCCAATTCAAGACTGAAAGGATATTAAAATATCACTCGCTTTAATTAAAGACTGTGTGGTTATCTAAAATCAGTCGTTCTAATTCAAGACTGTAAGGTTATTAAAATATCACTCGCTTTAATTAAAGACTGTATGGTTATCTAAAATCAGTCGTTCTAATTCAAGACTGTAAGTTTATTAAAATATCACTCGCTTTAATTAAAGACTGTATGGTTATCCAAAATCAGTCGTTCTAATTCAAGACTGTAAGGTTATTAAAATATCACACGTTCTAATTCAAGTCTGAAAGGTAAGAAAAATCACTCGTTCTAATTCAAGACTGTAAGGTTATAAAGAAATCACTTGTTCTAACTGAAGACAATAAGGTTATAAAAAACACTCTTTCTCAAGATTGTGAAAGTTCTCAAGATTGTGTATTCTCTCATCGTCCATGTAAGGTGACAAAATGGACAGGTGGTCAGGAATCGTCACATGGTTCACAACTATGTTTTTCTGATATTTACAACATCTGGTATGCCCAGTAAACAAATATATTTTGATAAAACCCGCTCTACAATTATTTTACATATTATTTTTAGATACAAGATACAATAGAACTGCTAAATTCCACGCTTCTTACTTGCTCCTGTGTATTTAGCGAGGGCGGCCTTTATGTTTGCACATATGTGGTAGGTGGGGACAAATCTGTGACCGCTGGACGAGCTGCAGCCACGTGCTACGTGTACATGCCACTGCCTACCACCTTAACGCCAATCTCCCTCTGATAGAGACATGTAAACAAGCATATATATGTTGCACTAACTATGGACTAGATTTACAATAGTGCGCCAGTCCGTTTTACCATGCTTATCAGCTGCATGTGCCGTGGGTTGAGCCAGAGATTAATCCCTACTGAAATGAGACACGCAGTGGGTGTTTTGTGTGTCCTCTTGATTGCAGGTATGTAATTTGAAAACTTTAGTGAGTCCTTAATTTGAGCATATTACAGCATGGTACAACGATGAAATGACTGTAGTAGCTACATGTGTATTTACATTACTGAGATCGAAATACATACATCATGTGTTCTAGTTCTCTATCTGTTGTACTGTGTTGTACTGGTGGTACAACAGATATAGAACTAGAACACAACGTTACATTCTACTGGAACAAAGAGCCTACATTATAACGGTCCAACTTATATCTAATCTCACCTGACGGGAAGGCCCACCTCTGACAAACACCTGTTTTACAAGCATATTAGAATCGATTATAATTTATTAAAGTTTTCGTTCGAAATTGTATGAGTAATAACAGATGAACTTTTAATGATATTTGACTTGTTGATGTTGACATTATATATGCAAATTCATTTCCAATGGTGAACCATATTTACAACCATTAAAGTATTTAACAAACCAGATGTATATTTTCAAGTCCAGTTTCTTTCCCTTGATCTGACAATCACTCACGCATCTTTCCTGAAAACGGCATTTGAAAAAACCCCAACACCACCCAACAACAGAAGGTCGTACAAGCAAAATGAATGTATGAATGAAGGCCTTAGCAGCAAAATATATATGAATATATGAATAGGTAAATAGGTGAATGAGTGGGGGTGAATGACTGAATGAATGAATAAGTAATATGAATGAATAAGTAATGTTTGTACTTCTTCCAGGTGCAAACAGTGCCTCCGATCCCTGTCTTTCCTACACGACGCTGGATGGGGGTGTCAGGGACAAAGACGTCATTACTAACCCGTCCCGGGCGTCACTGTGTGACAAGTCACTGGCTCCAGGGTGGTACAGGTTTACCGGTGCCGAGGTCGCCATGGCCAAGGTCGACAAGTTCCACTGCGGCGCCGAGTCAACAATCTGGATGGATGACCAAATCCCGCCAGTCGGCACATCAGCCGACCGGAAGTTCTGCTTCAACAATCTTGGTATCTCGCCAACAGGATGCCTGTGGTCGGAACAGGTCCCTGTGAGGAACTGTGGGAAGTACCTGGTGTATCAGTTCCCCCTCAAGACCATCATGTGTCCCATGGCAATCTGTACAGGTAATTTACACCCCCTTCCCCCTCTGTTATGCCTGTTCTCATGGATCGACGCTCACAATATCAGTCACTAAATTGTTCAGACTTGATTATGTATGCCGTTATACAGCTGGAATACTGCTGGCCGTTTAACAGAAAACAAACAACACTGTGTATACCAAATGATGGATATACCTTTCTAGAAGGATCATGCTAGTTTTAGACATTTCCTGGTTTCTTACAATAACGATTCAGTGTAGGATGCCAAGCCAAAAATTCTAATAAGCACGAACCGTGGATTCGAACCCACGATCAGCTCGAGCTGCCACGACTAAGGGACACAATTCTGTATTTCTCTGAACATGAACCAGCCGTACTCCCTGGTGGTTGCGATTGCGAGTCTGGGGTCCGAACCCCCGACTTGCTGCTGCTGCTACGGGTTAGACACGCAACAGCTAGGCCACCTGTTCTACCAGTATCCTTCTTTAGATAAGTCACTACCTTCACCCAGCACATCTCCCGTATATGTTCCTCACCCAGCACATCTCCCGTATATGTTCCTCACCCAGCACATCTCCCGTATATGTTCCTCACCCAGCACATCTCCCGTATATGTTCCTCACCCAGCACATCTCCCGTATATGTTCCTCACCCAGAACATCTCCCGTATATGTTCCTCACCCAGCACATCTCCCGTATATGTTCCTCACCCGGCACATCTCCCATCCTCACCCAGCACATCGTATATGTTCCTCACCCGGCACATCTCCGTATATGTTCCTCACCCAGCACATCTCCGTATATGTTCCTCACCCAGCACATCTCCCGTATATGTTCCTCCGTATATGTTCCTCCCAGCATCTCCCATGTTCCTCACCCAGCACATCTCCGTATATGTTCCTCACCCAGCACATCTCCCGTATATGTTCCTCACCCAGCACATCTCCCGTATATGTTCCTCACCCAGCACATCTCCCGTATATGTTCCTCACCCAGCACATCTCCCGTATATGTTCCTCACCCAGCACATCTCCCGTATATGTTCCTCACCCAGCACATCTCCCGTATATGTTCCTCACCCAGCACATCTCCCGTATATGTTCCTCACCCAGCACATCTCCCGTATATGTTCCTCACCCAGCACATCTCCCGTATATGTTCCTCACCCAGCACATCTCCCGTATATGTTCCTCACCCAGCACATCTCCGTATATGTTCCTCACCCGGCATCTCCCGTATATGTTCCTCACCCAGCACATCTCCCGTATATGTTCCTCACCCAGCACATCTCCCGTATATGTTCCTCACCCAGCACATCTCCCGTATATGTTCCTCACCCAGCACATCTCCCGTATATGTTCCTCACCCAGCACATCTCCCGTATATGTTCCTCACCCAGCACATCTCCCGTATATGTTCCTCACCCAGCACATCTCCCGTATATGTTCCAGATACTTCAATACAACCATGTCCACAATATCAGGTGTCCCAGTCTGGATTCACACCATGTCAAAGCAAGTATCCATTTTAGTTCTCAAAAGATCTGTTCGCCTTTGTTTCATGAATATTGGTCAAGTTTCTTTTACCAATTCAGGCCACAAGGACGTTGTTCGAAATGCACCTTGTATTACAACCTTGCAGATATCGCTTACCTAAGTGGAAAGGAAGTGAGCTTCTGGCATGGCCTGGTTGTCAGTTAACATCCCCCAGCTGAGAAACCCAGAGACCATATACCGAAGTAAACTTGAATAATGACATGCCTTTTACCAGGATGACAAATTACCAGGAGATACAAAAGTCAGATATGCCAGTTTAAACTCTATGCTCACTTGTACTGTAAATTTAGAGACCTCGAGGCTGATTAGAAAGACGCACTTGACGACCTCCAATAAGGGTGTCCTTCAGATTTTACGCAGACAGGTAGGAGCAGAAGATGAGAAAGAAATGAAATTCAGTACTGTTTGTTCGAAATGAAATGAAATTTGGTATATTTTTATGTAGTGTGGGATGTAAAAAATCCCGCATGCGATGTTTTAGATTTGGTCTTTATTTGGCCTTTGCGTTTGCCCCAAAATAAAAGCGTTTAAGGCTATGTAAACTTAATTTCCCTTAAATCTTTGAACAAATGAAAGAGAAATTCACAGACTCTCAAAACGATGCGTACTGCTCTATAGTTCTCTCAGAATGATGCGTACTGCTCTATAGTTCTCTAGAAATGATGGGTACTGCTCTATAGTTCTCTCAAAATGACGCGTGCTGCTCTATAGTTCTCTCAAAATGAAATGACTCGCGTGCTGCTCTATAGTTCTCTAGAAATGATGCGTACTGCTCTATAGTTCTCGTAATATGACGCGTGCTGCTCTATAGTTCTCTAGAAATGATGCATACTGCTCTATAGTTGTCTAGAAATGATGCGTACTGCTCTATAGTTCTCTAGAAATGATGCGTACTGCTCTATAGTTCTCGAAATATGACGCGTGCTGCTCTATAGTTCTCTAGAAATGATGCATACTGATCTATAGTTCTCTAGAAATGATGCATACTGCTCTATAGTTCTCTAGAAATGATGCGTACTGCTCTATAGTTCTCTAGAAATGACGCGTGCTGCTCCATAGTTCTCTAGAAATGATGCATACTGATCTATAGTTCTCTAGAAATGATGCGTACTGCTCTATAGTTCTCTCAGAATGATACGTACTGCTCTATAGTTCTCTCAAAATGACGCGTGCTGCTCTATAGTTATCTTAAAATGATGCACACTGTTATATAGTTCTCTCAAAATGCTTCTTCTTTGTACTTGCCAGTGTGCGGAATCCATATGAAGACCTGTATTTATCACTGGTTCACCTTTGACCGGACCTATCTTTCATAAGATGTAGATGGTATGAAATGTCGTTCAAACTGTATGAAAATGGTCTGACCTTGACCTGCAAAGGATAATTGGGATGTTTCATTAGTTTCCCAAACAAAATTCTGGAAATGCTAAACCAGCCTTACATTTTGTGAACCTGATTACAGAAATCCCCTGTCCCGCCGGCCAAGTGTCCGCATCTGGGTTCGAACCCTGCAGAGGTAACGTATGTCATACAACCGACACAGAGGTAACAATCACACAAATATGCCGAGCCAGACATTGACAAAAATGCAGTTGTCGACTAAATTGGAGAACGTTACATAAAATAAAATATCAATAAGTAGCCCCAGGGAACGAAATTTGTGACACGCTTCAGAAATTACGTCAATATTTTTGCGTTTATTACTGCGTTAATTAATCGACATTAATCCTTAAATCGCTGTCCTAGTACCTTTGTCTGAAAGTCCAGTCTGAATGTAATTATCCTGCCTAGTAACAGACATGTAGTGACCTCCACCTCTACCTCAGTTGCCTACCCGGAAGTCACGGACAACGTGACCTTGTCCGGCCCTGAGCCGTCCCAGGGCAGTGGTTACAGACAAGCGTGCAGCTTCACGTCATCCGACACGTCCCCGGACGCGAAGTTCAAGGTCACGTGGTCTATGAACGGAGTTCCGGTGGGCACCACGATGGTGACAGGCAGCGCGAGAACGGCGTACTTCGACCTGAATCAGTGGAAGGGACATATCAATAGCAATGTGAGAGAGTATTACGACAAATGGTTTCCCATGTTTTATAATAACAGAATGAATTCAGTTTCACGCCGCTTCTAGCAATATTACAGCGGCGAACACCAGAACTGGGCTTCACACATTTCACCCATGTGGGGAATCGAGCCCGGGTCTTGACGGGCGAACGCTTTAACCACTACACCAAAATACTCGGCGCATATTGTCGCATCGGCAGTTGTGGGGGTCTATGTAACTCGGATCAAAGAAGCGGTACCAACAACTTCTACAGCTTACACACATGCAATTTGACTTACTCAAACTAATGTATGTGTCCACCACAGTTATAACATTTTCACCTAGCTCCTATTTATGTATATATGTCCAGCCTCATATGTGTATACAATATTGTACTAACTACCAACACATGTCACTGTTCTGTCTGTACATGCAACTTGTAATGGAATTAAAAAAGAGATAAAAATGAATAAAAATAACAAACCCTTAAGCTTAGAAACGTAATTAATCTGTGGCGCCGCTTTCAGCTGACCTGTAGCGTCCAGTCCTCCACCGCCAACAGCAACAACTGGAACCCCCACGCCTACACCAGCAACAGCTACTACGGTGGCATCAAGGTCTTACTATACCACTTACGGCTTTACCATCCTTGTGTTACGAATGCTGTAAACCTGGTCATCTCGAACACCGTTAACCTGGTCATCTCGAACACCGTTAACCTGGTCATCTCGAACACCGTTAACCTGGTCATCTCGAACACCGTTAACCTGGTCATCTCGAACACCGTTAACTTGACATCTCATTAACGACGATGCATTTTTGTGGTCTCGAAATCAAAAAGTACAATAAAAGTCCTTATTTCTGTGATATTTTTACCAGAAACAAAGCCGTCTCGTGCAATGTCGATACTGATTTTAAGGGCCCTTTAAACAGGCACTGACGACGTATAAAGTGTATAACTGTATATTATTATTTTATTATTCAATACAAACATCAATCATATTCAATGGCCGAGAAGCAGTCACATGTCAAGTATGAGAATGTCATGGAAGTTTCTTGAGTGCAGCTTTAAACAACATCCCCTCACATTCATTCATCATCAGCTTCTCTTTCAAGATCGAGCCTCATCCTTTGAACATTGTGGAAGGAATTGATAAGGAGATTGAGATCATCTCTACACTCCCCGTCTACTGTCAAGCCATGTCATCACAGATGTCGTGCAGCCTCCACCTGCACGTCATATCACCAGGTTCGTCATTTCAAACAGTTGCATGGGGGCGGTCTGGTAACCCAGTGGTTAAAACTTTCGCATGTCACGCCGAAGGCCCGGGTTCGGTTCCCCACATGGGTACAATGAAGCCAATTTCTGGTGTTCCCGGTTGTGATATTGCTGGAAAATTGCTAAAAGCGGTGTAAAACCAAACTCACTCACTAAAGAGATTCTTGAATCCACAAGTTTCACGTAAATATAAAACATCAGTGCATAAGAACACCTAGTCCTGACCATCTCCAGAAATAGAATCCATCAGGTGTACAGAGCAGAGAGATGACCAATGGATTTCAGTGATAACACCAGGTGTTCGCAAGAAGCGTAAGCATGTCCTGCCCGACCTGTCGCACCTGCCATTCATATTACCCGCTAAGTCAATCCCGTACTTATGATAGCCTTTATTATAAGGACGAGGGGCGGTGTGGTAGCCTAGTGGTAAAAGCGTTCGCTCGTCACGCCCAACACCCTGGTTCGATTCCTCACATGGGTACAATGTGTGAACCCCATTTCTGGTGATGTTCCCCTGCCGTGATATTTCTGGAATATTGCTAAAGGCGGCGTAAAACTAAACTCACTCACTCGCTACGAGGGTGAATGTCTGAGTGACACAGATGACAATGGTTTGTTTGACCTGGAGTCATGTGTATTTGTGTATTCGTGACCAGGCGTGGGAGGTTGGAGATAAAGATGTGTAGAATCATGTCAGTGAAAGTAACAGGTGCTGATAATACACTTGAAAAAAGAGAAATATGGGAATGTCACCAAGCAGGAATTATTAAACTGGAAATGAGGGCACTGTAATTCAAGTGAGGATTCTGGGTCAGAATTGGTACCGCGGAAATATACTAGTCGTAAGAGGCGACCAAACGGATTGTGTGGTCAGTCCCGGTTATGTTTATAGCGTGTCATAGTAAGCCGGTGGATCGCTGCTCCCTATCAATCACTGTATTGTCTGGTCCAGATTATTGCAGGGGCAACCTTTAGCTGGAATAATACTAAATGTGGCTTAAAGCAAAGAAAATGCAAAGTATTCTTGCTCAAAATGCATTTTGTTGTCCATATCTCACTTTGAGTTTGGATAGGGGCTGTAAGAAGTCTATTTTCCATCTTCGGCAGTCAGGGTCTTTTTTCTATGAAAAAATCCATTTCAACAAATCATTTGACACTATATGATAAATGTGTTTTTTAAAGTATTTATTTTAGTGTAATTTGATCTTTAGCATGGACATTGTGTGTCCGCGTGATAATTTTCATATAATATTTATTGATAACATTATAATATACAGAGTTAAACATATTATGCTTGGGTGCCTGGAGTTCAGTAGGATTTATGGAGTGAGTGAGTGTTTTTTAAGCAATATTCCACTAATATGACGGCGGGGGACACCAGAAATGGGCTTCACACATTGTACCCATGTGGGGAATCGAATCCGGGTCTTCGGCGTGACGAGCGAACGCTTTAACCTCTAGGCTATCCCATCGCCCGAGGAGTAATAGAGGTATAGCCAACTGTGTCGCCTTTTGTGAACAAAGAATATATGTTATGTCAAAGAATAAAAACAAAACATGCTTGCAAACGTGCACTCATACATATTCCAGTTATATCATAACTGTTTGTACATTGTCAAGTCTGGGCCAGTTAAATCAGTGTATGCAGTGACCCGTCGCTGGGGTTCAAACACACGCTAGTCTGACCGCCCATTCCTCTCTATGTTGGCTCTTACGACACGGAGTGCGAACCTGCCTTTCTACCCCTTATTACCAATAGGGTGAATGCAAACAATTATTATTATATGTTTATTATATAAAAATACATCACGAGAGGATTTTATTAGTCCAGGCTATCGAACATGTACTGAGGGGAAAAAATAAGAGAACATCACTTCATGGCAGGGTTCCGTTATTTATTCTCAGATTTCCTCCCACAGCGCTATTCACAGCTGGTGATGAAATCTGGAAAATATTAAAGGAGAACTTAAATTTTCCTGAGTTCCTTTGTTTCTCTCAGTATATTGTTTACGAATCCGCCGATTGAAACGCGTTGGAGGTATTCTTTTAGCATGTGTTGTTTCTAATTTAAAAAATACAGTCAAGTGCGATTAAATCCTATTAAATGCAGCACTGTACACCTCCTCCCTACAGAACTGTTCACGGTGAGTAGCTGTGACCTATCCCTTACCCCCACCGACTGGAACCCCTCCACCCACGAGGCGAGACTGACCCTGGAAGTAGCTACAAAGCTGGACCCCGCCATTAAGGCCAACTCTCAGACCACCTTGTCTCTCGAGATAATACCGGATGTATTCTCTGGCCTGGACGTGTGGAAGAACGCGACCGTCTCACCAATACAGGTTCGTTATGTACCTTCTGTATAGGTCACCCCCATGATATGACGAACTACCAACTCCTGATATGGCGAATCATTAATTCCTGATATGACTTACTGCCATGATATGACGAACCACTAACTCTTGAAATGACGAACTACCAACTCCTAATATGGCAAATCATTAACTCCTGATATGACGAACTACCAACTCCTAATATGGCAAATCACCAACTCCTGATATGACGAACTGTTAACTACTGATATGACAAATCACCAACTCCTAATATGGCAAATGACACAACTCCTGATATGACGAACTGTCATCTGATATGACGAACCACCATCTCCTGATATGGCTAAAACCAACAACATCCGAAACCAAGAACTGTCATCTCCTGATATGACGAACTGACAACTCTTGAAATGATGAACTACCAAGTGATACGGCTAAGACAAACAACATCCGAAATCACGAACTTACAACTCCTGATATGACGAACTGTCAACGGCGGAGATGTGGAACTGACAATTCGGTGAACGACCGTCGTTGTGTACGGTGTACTGACGTCCTTGTTTGAAGAAATGTCAGATCCCGACAGAATGAACAGCGACTTGATCCCGACTTAACGAACTAGTCCTGACTCAATTATTTACAGAATGCTATTTATATAGCTTGAAAATAGCGTGGCGTTAAGCATCCTATTAAGAAAATTACACCAACATTAATGCACCATAGATATTTAGGATTCGAAGAAATAAGCAATGGTTTGTCTGGTCCTAACTCAATTATGTATATGCCGACGCCAAAGTGCTTGTATATTTTGTGTAAACAAACCATTGATACCATTATAGACTTGCTCTGGGTGTTCGTTAGCATCATACCCATGTTTGCAAAATTACTCCCATACAATAGCACCCTCCACGTGCAAGAACCCTGAAGGTCCGGGTTACAATTGATCTTCAGTAACCCATGCTTGTTATGAGGCGACTAACGGGATCGGGTGGTCACGCTCGCTGACTTGGTTGACACATGTCATCGTATCCCAACTGTGTAGATCGATGCTCGTTGATCACTGGGTTGTCTGGTCCAGACTCGATTATTTACAGACCGCCGCCATATAGCTGGAATATTGCTGAGTGCGGCGTTAAACAACAACTAAATCAAACCAAACCCTCCAGGTGCAATACCCACTAACCATGCCAGATGAATCATGTGAAAGAATTCCGATGTTCCTTAACATCCTGTGAGTGGGATATATCCAGAGCAGAGAGATGTTCATATCACACGCACTTTTAACTCTACAGGTGTCGGTGACAGATACGCAGTTCAAGATATGCACCTCTGTCGGCGATCCCCACTTCCTACAGTCGTTCAACCCTGCAATTCAAGGGTAAGTATTCTAACGGCAGATTTGTCAGTTTCACAATTTAGGTTGAATTATCAACACCTACATTCCAAACACTTACATACATTCTCTCGAGCAGGACTGGAATACCCACGGGTTGCCATACAATTCAGCTGACGTGATGCATAGTATATATATATTACATTCGAAATAATATGCTACTCAAAGAAGTTAAGGTACGCCCAAATTATGGAGCTCATCTGTCATATTACTAGAGCTCCTCTGTCATATTACTAGAGCTCATCTGTCATATTACTAGAGCTCATCTGTCATATTACTGGAGCTCATCTGTCATATTACTAGAGCTCATCTGTCATATTACTAGAGCTCATCTGTCATATTACTAGAGCTCATCTGTCATATTACTGGAGCTCATCTGTCATATTACTGGAGCTCATCTGTCATATTACTAGAGCTCATCTGTCATATTACTGGAGCTCATCTGTCATATTAGAGCTCATCTGTCATATTACTGGAGCTCATCTGTCATATTACTGGAGCTCATCTGTCATATTACTGGAGCTCATCTGTCATATTACTAGAGCTCATCTGTCATATTACTGGAGCTCATCTGTCATATTACTGGAGCTCATCTGTCATATTACTGGAGCTCATCTGTCATATACTTCATCTGTCTACTAGAGCTCATCTGTCATATTACTAGAGCTCATCTGTCATATTACTAGAGAGCTCATCTGTCATATTACTAGAGCTCATCTGTCATATTACTGGAGCTCATCTGTCATATTACTAGAGCTCATCTGTCATATTACTGGAGCTCATCTGTCATATTACTGGAGCTCATCTGTCATATTACTGGAGCTCATCTGTCATATTACTAGGAGCTCATCTGTCATATTACTGGAGCTCATCTGTCATATTACTGGAGCTCATCTGTCATATTACTGGAGCTCATCTGTCATATTACTGGAGCTCATCTGTCATATTACTGGAGCTCATCTGTCATATTACTGGAGCTCATCTGTCATATTACTGGAGCTCATCTGTCATATTACTGGAGCTCATCTGTCATATTACTAGAGCTCATCTGTCATATTACTGGAGCTCATCTGTCATATTACTAGAGCTCAGCTCATCTGTCATATTACTGGAGCTCATCTGTCATATTACTAGAGTTCTGTCATATTACTAGAGCTCATCTGTCATATTACTAGAGCTCATCTGTCATATTACTGGAGCTCATCTGTCATATTACTGGAGCTCATCTGTCATATTACTAGAGCTCATCTGTCATATTACTAGAGCTCATCTGTCATATTACTAGAGCTCATCTGTCATATTACTGGAGCTCATCTGTCATATTACTAGAGCTCATCTGTCATATTACTGGAGCTCATCTGTCATATTACTGGAGCTCATCTGTCATATTACTGGAGCTCATCTGTCATATTACTGGAGCTCATCTGTCATATTACTAGAGCTCATCTGTCATATTACTAGAGCTCATCTGTCATATTACTAGAGCTCATCTGTCATATTACTAGAGCTCATCTGTCATATTACTGGAGCTCATCTGTCATACTGGAGTTCATCTGTCAGATTACTAGAGCTCATCTGTCATATTACTAGAGTTGATATGTGGTCCGTGACAGATTAGTTATAGCCCTATTACAGGATTGGACTGTCCTTTGAACAGTATACACAGAAGCTATACTGTTTTAGGTTCTACAGCCTGTACCATATCGGACACTTCAACTTGGCCGGAGACCGCAGAGCACCGATAGCGGTAACCAGTTGAGGCATTTTAACTTATGGTCATTGGAATTTTTTAAAGGGTTATTTTAGCAGTCACTAATTATTTTGTCTATTTTTGACTGATCTGCTGTTCTAAACATCGTTAATCATGGTCTAGAATAATTTGTGTCGAAGCGAATTAATCTTTGATTTCCGAAAATATGTAATATTGTTGTTATAGGTTCAGATAGAGACGAACCTCTGGCACCCGACACACCTCCCAGTCATCACAGCTATAGCAGTACAGACAGGCACTGAAACGACCATTATCGACACCGACGGGGGCAGCACGAACCCCACCGTCATCAGTAACAAACGACCGACATCGCACACACTGCAACGTTGTGGGACCAATGAGTACCAGGTAGTTTGTAGTCTATACTCATCCTCGGCAGTCAGGGGCTCTTTCTTGCACATCACCCATGGCTCAACATGTAAATTCCGTTTAACTATCACTCGTATTACTCTCTACTAGAACAACTTTGAAAGTAAAGAATACGCTTCTGGAAATGTACTGCGGAAGATAAACACGCTGTGGGTGCTCATGCGACATTGAGAAAACGAACTTGAATCATCACTGTGACAAGCGGACGCTTTAACCACAGGGTAACCCTGCCGTCTCCTGTTTTACTGGAGGTGAATTGGACATGGATTATTGCACATGTTCAGCGACGTGCATACACGTTTGTGTGTTTGTGTGTGCGTGCGCGTGTGCGCATTTATGCGTGCCTGTGTGTATGTCCACATTCTTTTACTCGTTTCCATATTGTTTAATGCTACTCTCAGCAATATTCCATCTATGTGGCAGCGGTCTGTAAATTATCGAGTCTGGACCAGACAATCCACAGATCAACATCGTGAGCATGTGTCAACCTCTTAACTCTTGAACAAGTCCTTGTTTGTCATTCTACCCGTAAAGGTCCGGGTTAGAACTGATCTTCAGTAACCCATGCTTGTCGTAAGCGGCGACTAACGGGATCGGGTGGTCAGGCTGCTGACATGGTTGACACATGTCATCGTATCCTAATTGCGAAGATCGATGCTCATGCTGCTGATCACTGGATTATCTGGTCCAGACACGATTGTTTACAGACCGCCGCCATATAGCTGGAATATTGCTGAGCGCGGCGTAAAACTAAAGTCACTCACTCACTCACTCACTCACGTATGTCATTCTGTTCCTTGTTTCATAAATCCAATACTACCTCAATCATGTTAATTGTAGATCTACACCCCCATGGGGCACAGGATCAACGTCTACCATCAGTATGACAAAGGCCACTACCTGGACGTGAAGCTCACCTTCCCCTCCGGCATTGTCTCCCTCACCGACATGGTCAACAAAACCGACATCTACCACGAAACGTGTAACATAGACACGACTACTAACGGCATGAAGACCTTGACGATCACAGGAGAGTTTAACGGCAATGTTATTGACCTATTTAGGTGAGGGGTGGGTGGGGGGAATGGTTTTGACATCGCTCTCGATTTCATAAACACCGATTTAAAAGTATTGGATCTTGGACCAAAGGGATCAAACATTGCCAGGGAGTGTAGCTGTGTCCTGTATGCGTACCAGGCACATGCGATAGTGATCCAAATCACAGATCAGCCACGATTATGTCTATTGTTTTTTCAGCAACATATCCGTCCACGTGGTCGTAACCCAAGTGGTAAACATATGAGACATGTATAACTTCGAACCCATGAAATACACAATGCCATTTTAGAAAGTGGTCAAATGTAACATATGTTATATTTGGGATTACACTTTCTTAGTAAAGTACAGATTCTAGTACTTTTGTGGGTTGAGTCCCATCCGGGATTCGAACCCACACCCTCAGAGTCAGGCACCTAATCGCCAGCACACGAAGTCAGACGCCTAGACCGCTCAGCCACCGCGGCTTATGTTTATGGAAGCCGCGGTGGATGAGCGGTCTAGGCGTCAGACTAAGTACTAGAATATGTACTTTACTAAGAAAGTGTAATCCCAAATATAACATATGTAACTTCGAACCCGTGAAGATCCAGGTTAGAATTGATCTTCAGTAACCCATGCTTGTCGTAAAAGGCGACCAACGGGATCAGGTGGTCAGGCTTGCTGACTTGGTTGACACATGTCATCGTATCCCACTTGTGTAGATCGATGCTCATGATGTTGATTACTGGATTGTTTGGTCCAGACTCGATTATTTACAGACCGCCGCCATATAGCTGGAATATTATGGAGTGCGGCGTTAAACAACAAACCAACTACAGCCCGTTTGGCTCAAAAGTGGACCCATGAATTGCAATCTAACTCAAAACTAATAAACATAAAATGCTCAATGAAACGCTGATCATAATCAAAACATCAGACCAACTCTGTGGTTTTTTTTGCAGAATATATGTCCTAAAAGTTGTTTAACAAACTATCATTAAAATATTGACACAGTTCACTATTTGTTAACTGTAACCAAGCAGCTTAGAGCTTTCCTGTAACTGTAACACTGTTGAAATTAGTGTAAAGCGAATTGACTCGCTCACAAATGACTTGCCTTGGGCAGACATACAAAGAAAAGCACCTGTTTGGGTTATATTCTCCCAGGGTGAACCCAGACAGTGACTTGTTCCACGGTAAAGACGTACACACGACGAAGATAGCGCCCCAGATCTACTGCTCCTGCCCACCCCGTAAGCCAGGACACGTGGTTGAGGTTCTGTGTCAACGAGGCTTGAAAGTCAGCGACCCTTTCATTGATGTGAGACGGTTATATATTCTTATATATATCCTAATGAAATAACTCGACAGTGTGTAGAGGCCTTTAGTGTGTGTGAGCGAGTACGATTCCAGTGTGTGAGCGATCATATTAGACTGTAATGTTTGCACGTGTGCGTGTGTGCATAGAAGTATGGATTATATAAGACTGTCAGTTAGTCTATTTATTGTTACACACCTTTCAAGCAATAGTCCAGCAATAAGACGCCGGCAAACAAAGCAGGGATTGACATCATGAGCATCGATCAATGTAAATGAGATACGGTGCCATGCATCTACCATGTCAGTTTGTTACCCCGATCCAGTCTGTTAGCTCTTACGACAAGCATGGGCTGCTGAAGACTTATTCTAACTCGGGGAATTGTCAAATTACTATTAATTTACTATTAATGCAACTTTGGATATATTTTCAAACACGAGCAAGTGAACAATAACGTAAGGCCACTAACGGGGTCGGGTAGTCGGGCTCAATGGCTGGTGGATGCGCGTCATCGTATCCCTGTTAGTAGCTCGATGCTGATGGTGTCATACAATAACCAACCAACCAAACATCCAACAAAACCCCGCCTGCACGTCTCGGACTATGCCGACTAAATCCGACTGCAATCTATGTAGTAGTGTACGTGATACTCGATGGTGTTTCAGAGGCCGACGTGTAAGGAGTTCATGCCGAAGACAATAACCGCTCCTCCAGCACAGAATCCAGCAATTACAACAACTTTCAAAGGTAATATTTAACAAAGTGAAACTAAACACCCACAAAAGCGCCAAACCACGTCACTTCGGGCTCTGCTTTTCCAAAATACTGAACTATCGTCTGTAACATATTCCGCCGTTTTCCATTTCTGTTCATTGCTGACAATGATCGTAACCTACATGCATATCCTTTCTGACTGGGGGCAGTGGGGTAGCCTACTGGTTAAAGCGTTAGCTCGTTCGATTCTAGGTTCGATTCCCCAGATGGGTACAATGTGTGAAGCCCATTTCTGGTGTCCCCCGCTGTGATATTGCTGGAATATCGCTAAAAGCGGCGTAAAACTAAACTCACTCACTCACGTTCTGACTGACAAAGTTTCACTTAATTAGAGGTAGTCATCGAGCGCTCATCCCAAACTACTTGATCCTAATACGAGATTTAACATTAGAGTAATGTTTTTATTGTCAGGTTAGTGTTCTAAACAGTAGTTAAACAAAATAACGAAGTACCAGAGTCTCATTAAAATCATATCTTCTGCTTCTGCTGCGTCACGATCTGAGGACGAAATCAGGAGGTCGCATCTGGGCAAACCGTGTAACTGCCCGTTCTAAATAAAGGATGCTTGGGTTCTGGTACTTTGACTACAATAGTATACTTTCAGATGTAATACGTGGGTATATAACAGGCACTATATATTTCTTGTATAGATTTTGGTGCAATGAATATTTTCGTGCGTCCGTCGTGACGGAAAATATACTTTTTCTGCGCACATTCATTGTTTGTGCGCTCTCAGTTCTGCAAATGTCAGTTTCTTTTCGTTTTCATGTACGAAAATGTCGTGAGAACTTTAAAGCAGATAGGTATCATATAGGAGAGAAAAAGATCTCAGTTGAAATTGCTCCAAACTGATGGTCACGCAGGGATAGAAACTTTTGTTCTCTTAACCAAACGTATTTCAGGACTGTACCTGTGCCATATCTCAACGTGATGCCCTTCTTGCAGAATACCAGCCTTTGCCGCATCCCTGGCCCACCGCGACTGGAGTCACAGAGGTCAAGGCCAGGGCAACCTGTTATGAGGCCATTGTCAACTTTACCTCGACAGAGTGCGGGTCTCATATAACAGTCAACGTCGCCGACTTCGTCAGCAGCTGTGTGGATGATGTCCAGGTACGCGACACAACAACATCGAACAACAGGAACAGGCTGTTTCTAGAACGGGTAGTTGCGGTATAGTTGGTTGGTTAACGCCGCACTAGCAATGTTCCAGCTATATGGCGGCGGTTTGTATATAATCGAGTCTGGACCAGACAATGTCACAATCCCGTGAACAACATCATGAACGTCGTTCTACACAATTGGGATACGATGACATGTGTCAACTAAGTCATCGAGTCTGACCACCCGATCCCGTTAGTCGCCTCTTACGACAAGCATGGGTTACTGAAGATCAATTCTACCCCTGATCTTCACGGCTCAGCAGTGAATGGGTAAACGGTAGGATGAGATGATAATGTGACCGTTAACCCTGTAGGTTAACCAAAGGTAGCTGGATTTGTATACTCCTTATGGAGCTGAGAATGAAAATAAGTTACGGTAACCAGGTCTGTGGTGTGACCCTTGAAGATCCCAAAACGTAGTTATAGTCACCACCTCTGAAGATCCAGACCCATACTTTAACATAGACTTACGACTGTCGTGGCGTTACGATCGCTTTGATGAACGGGTCCCTGGATCTTCAGAGGTGGTGACTACGAGGAACGGGGCTCAGGTTATAATTGTTCTTCAGCAACCAAAATTAACGGAAGAGGTGGCTAACGGGTGGTCAGGCGTGCTACCAGTTTAGTGTGATTGATGCTCATGATGTCAGTCACTGTGTTGTTCAAGACTTGATGATTCACAAACCGCCGCCATACAGCATCAATAATGCTGAGTGTGACGTTAAACAACAAACAATCAACCTCCGTGGTGTAGTGATTAGAACGTCTCTCCAGCGACCGTCGCAACGAAAGACGTTAACAGGGGGTACTTGTTTTTACCCTGCCTGGAGCAGGTCGTCAAGCAAAGTTTGGTCGGCCCTGAGTCAGTATGCCGCATCTGCATTGGGTATAGCCTCGTTGGAGTCTACCAATCTGGGATTTTGTTGCACCAGCAAAGAGGCTGTTGCAGTAATCTAGTCTTGTCATTTGAGTTCAACTCAGGAAGCCAGTTGTATGAAACTCCATGACTTGAACTCTGTCATATTTCAGTTGGATTTGGTTTGAAGCCAGACCTTTGTGTATAGTGTGAAAAGGACAGGGCCGGTTAGATGAAAACTTGCAAGCCTGACATGTTATTGTCAACACTGGAGTCTCAAGTCATTAACACACGGACAAGAGCTGTCTCAGTAAAACTTACCTGCCCACAGATAAAATATCTTACAGGACGATAATTCTTGGGTTCATCTGGATCAGATTTGATTTCTTCAGAAGAGGTTTCACTATCGCTTAGGTAGATTGGGAATTACATGTCTGTGTTTATCAATTTTAACCCCAACGTCGGGCAGGTAAGATTTGACAATCTAGCAGTCCGTGTTGAAAATAACCCGTCCCGGGCGGTCGGGTAGGCAGGTATTTCGAACGCTGGTTAAGCTGAATAAACCAAATCCCGACAATCCCAATGTTTGCAGGCTTCCGGTGGGCTCAGCTACGTGGCGTCTGCAGTCCAGGCGTTCCAGTCTAAATGCGAGACCGACATCCTCAGCAACCCGAAGAACTACATAGTTACATCGACCGGACAGCTTCAAGTACCGGAAGTCATAACTCGCCAGTGCCCTAACTTATGCAGTATGCACGGGTCATGCGTGAAAGGTGTTTGTCAGTGCGAGACTGGATGGGGATGGACCGACTGCTCTGTTAAAACGGGGGAACCTTTTGCTATCACTGGTATAACGGGGTGAGTAGAACGCTATTACTTGCTGCATCATCAACGAAAATGTTAAAGGTAACGCGGTATTATATATTTAGGTACCATTATGATCATAAATATGCAAAAACAACAGTTACTGCTTATCATACATGGGTGGAGCAGTAGCCTTAGTGCTGGGTTGCCTCCCTTAGCCGTTCCACGGCCCACGGCTTATCATGAGTTCTGTTCTTATGCCCTCACTGGTTTTGCTATATGATTTGTTTATATTCTAGTTATGGTATATGGTCAAGTCACTGTAAACTTGCATGGCTTACATAACTTCCACTTTCCTCCAAAGCTGAAGTAGCAGACTGTGTTAAAAAGCGTGACATCCAATCCGTTCACTCACTCACTCATTCACACCCCACCCACTCACTCCTCACTAACTCAATGATCTGTCAATTGAGCTAACTTATGAGTTTAGCCTTCGCGGGAATACTGTCAAAAGTTACCAAAGCTAAAACCATATTCTCCGTGACTGGTTATCTTAAAAATACAAATGTGTATTTTTTTCTATTATTCTACTCGCACTCTGTTAATAGCATTGTTACACCCAACTTACTCACACATTTATTCACATGAAGATTTCAGCATTTAACCTGCATGTTAAGCCTGTTAGCGAGATACCTCAAGGATCATTCACTGGATTTTCTTCATATTTGACATCAAGCTTTATCTGGGGAAGGCGCTGGGCCCAGTCGATTTTGGTGACCTTCACGTAATTTTCAAGGTCACTTTTAAGATTTCAGCATGTTAACCTGCATGTTAAGAATTATCAGCGACCTTCACTTTCATTACTTTTCAAGTTTAATTTCATAATTTGCGGCTGGGGATTATGACAATGCTTGTTATATATGGCCTAATCATCATAGTACTTCCTGACATCCTGGTCGTCTCCCTTCCAGCGGGGTTCGATGTGACACGTCGGTGTCCAGCGACTGTTTCAGCCCCACCCTGACTGTCAGTAACCTTGGTTACATAAATTTCTGCGTGGTGACACCTGCATCTGTAAGTATCCATTGTCAGATAATGCGGTTGTTTTATTGTTATGCTCTCTTTATAAAGGGGTTTGAGTAAGCTAGCGGTAACAGCCTTTGCTCGTCTCGCTGAATAGCAGGGTTCCATTTTCCTCGTATTCATGAATATAATGGATAGATAGATAATTATTTATTAGAGTCTCGCCTCAAAGCATATAACATATTTATAAGCGCATAAATTACATAAAAACCCATGAGCAACTCAATTTGGAGTTATGAGAGACTTTAAAAGCATAAAATGTACCAGAGCTACAGATAACTGTTTGGGTCATTGAGTTATGTATCCTAATTTTCCTTTGAGTAACTAAATAATTTGTACTCACCTCACTCAAACTCAATTGGGTATTTTGCCATTTTCCATTAATTTTAAAAATATAATAAAGTATAAATGTTAGTGTTTTTTACTTATATTTCATCTCTAATATGAGAAACGATGAGAAAGATTGCAAGTTGTCAAGTTCATGTTCTGAAATAGAACCTCTCAATATACCTCAGTTATTTTATCTATCCATCGGTACTCAAGCTAAGATTTGACATTTTCGTGTGTACACATGTGAGATCACATTTATTGAGTATTTACCAAAATTCAAGCGTACTTGTACGCAATAGACTTAACAGGAATTGAGTTTTCACATAAACATTTACGCAGATACGCAACTTATCTGTACCTGTATCTGTATCTGAATATACATATATACACAATATACAAAAATACAGAAACATAGCTATTTGTATAAAATATTACTACGAATATCTAAAATGGTATTGCAGGATTTGGCACTTAATAGAGCACATTCATTATTAGATAAAATAAACCGGATCTTATCACAGTCATTAGCTGACTAAAAGCTGGCCATAGGAAATTACATTTATCAAATAAAACTTGTCTTACTTCATTGTAAAGTGGACAATGTAACAGAACATGGCGTTCGTCTTCAATAAAATCAGTAAAATCACTCTTTCGTTCAAGGGGACCTTTTGATATATAATGTGTTTGTCTCTGGGGATAATACTAGGATATCGCGGTATTTGCACACTCTTCATAGATTTTCAAAGTACATAGTGTTATCTTCATGTGCTCCATATTCAAATCTTGACATATCCTTATTTTACTCTTAGAAAAATCAAAATCTGTTGTTAATATTTTTGTCAACCCAACCAACCTCATAAGAGATTGAGGTTATTCGCAATAAAACCAACGATCTTTCGCGAAAATATATCTTTCCATTCATGTTTAGGAGATTCAAGTGTGCATACTTTCATTTTCCACCCAAAACGTATTGGACCAATCTTGTCAAGCAGGATAACAATTCGTAATTAGAATATAGAAATATCAAATGCACTGAAGTGAGTTATCATTAGTGTCCAAAATTTTCTATTTGTACGGTCGGAGCAAATACTGACAACAATAATAACAAACCCATATACTTAATGTTGCAGTATGAACAAGGCAGGCCCAGCAAACCCCATACACCCTATACAGGGACCTACAGCCGGGAAAACGCCTTCGGCCTCACGTGTAATATGAAACCCACACCAGGCATAACAGGTGCGTAGAACCCCCGATATTGAAGTCTGTCTTACTTTCAACTTCGTTTTTTCAGGATTCGATGATCGAGTGAGTTTAGTTTAAGGCGACACCCGCAATATTCCAGATGTATGGCGGCGGTCTGTAAATAATCGAGTCTGGACCAGACAATGCAATAATCAACAGCATGAACATGGACCTATCTAGTCCAGCATATAACTAGACGACTTTGCACTATACCAAGGTGTGCTCGATGTAGGCCTTGGCTGGAATACGAGTTTATTCATATGAACTAGGACCTATCCAATTAGGATACCCAAATGACACGTGTCAACCAGGTCAGCAAGCCTGACCACCCGATCCCGTTAGTCTTCTCCTACGACAAGCATGGGTTACTGAAGATCAATTCTATCCCGTATGCTCACGGGTCGGTTTCGCAAAGAATCTTGAAGCATCACTTCCGGTTTCCCGGCCCATTAAGCTGACAGCCTGTTGACATAACTAGAACACTGTTCAGAATGGCGTTAAAGACCCTCACCCCACCTCGTTAAAGACAGCGCATAAGTCTATTTCTATCCATCCGAACCAATCAAGTCTTTTGAAAGCGCAGTAACATTCTCATAATTATGGAATTTAGTAACACAGCATTGAATACCTGGCCATCCGTACTGTTTGTTTCTCATCTCCAACCTCCTCAAATTGGAAGAGACCTTTCGGGCGGACAGAAAGTCATTAAATACATGCATATACGACGTAGATCACATTAGGGGATATATTTCAAAAGCGGAAATTAAAATATATGATGGCTTTCATTATTTCAAGTCTGGATGAAAATTCAGGGCGGGTGTGAGAAACAAGTATGGACAGCCTACATAGTTTGAAATTGGATAGGAAGAGTCTGGGGCCGGGGCTGGGTGATGAGGATGCGGACAAAGATGTGACATGCATCAGGGGTAGGAATATGATGTTAATAATAACTATTACAATACAACAAACTGCATTAAAAAATGATGCGCAACGTACATGACGAAAGAGTAAAAAAATAATAAAGATCAGCTGTTCGATTGGCATTTCTGAAGTCGGTGAGTAACACATGCAAGATTTATGAATGACCTTTCAGTTCTTTATACCGCTGTTGTAAGCAAGAGCGCTTGTGAACGGTACTAGGATCAGGCATTACATCATAATAGAATAAAGAAGTTGTAACTTGCCTTTTTGCAGTGTGTAATATGGAAATACTGTTCCGACCGGTGTTCTATCCTGCTCTCACTCTCTCGACCTAAATCGAAGCTCTCCGATCGGTCCTGTACTTCGTGACAATTACAGATCTTGCACAAATTAATGCCATGATGTACATTTCAGCCCAATCCTACACGATCAATCTGCTCACTCAGTCCAACGTCGGTGGAAACTCCATCACCTACGTCATCTACAACGGCAACTGTCAGATGTGTGATGAGCACTTCACCTGCTACCGGAGGGTAGGTCTATGTCAGTCGACACCACCCACCCCAGGGGACCCGGGCTAGCAAACTACCCATCACTACTGCTTGCCGTAAGGGGAGAGTATGAGGCAGACAGGTCGGTCAGGCTAGGGGCCGTGACTGATAGTGTGCACTCCGGCTACATGATACTTTGCTCTTAATATCAACCCAAGGTTTACCTGGCAAGACTCGATTCTCATGATTCGTGATAAGATTAATGCTAAATTCGGCGACATCCTCATCTCTCTCACACGCACGGGAGCACGCACATACACCACATTAATCGGGATTTGCAAACGTAACGCTGTTACGACTCTATCTGACCTGTAAAATAACATATATTGAAATTGAATTCTAAAAACCGTTAAAGACCTCCTCAAACAATCCGTCTATTTGCAGGCTGATGCGTGCCTTATCAAAGGTCACTGCTACAAGGCTGGCGAAACCGTTGAGATTGGTCAGCAGACATACACATGTAATCCTAAGTCGAATCTGGACGGGTGGACGCTCTTTCCCTCGGGTTCCGCGACACAACAAAACAGCACCTGTGTCTGCCAAGCGCCTGTGTAGGGACATTGCCGTTTTTTTGCAGATTATATATATTTCTGTAACAATAAACGATAAATACACTTGATCATCTGTCTTATGAATCTCTGCCTGAAGTACGTATACCGACGTCCAAGTGAATAACTATGTTATTCCTCAACTGGAGTATACGAGGTACGGAAGCTCACCTTATACCAGAAGATTCCCACTGAGGTTGTCCGAATGAATAAACGAGATATTTGCCAAAAAGTATTTTCTCCCCTATTCTGGGATAAAATAGTCATGTTTTCCCAATATTTTCTAAGCGGCCATTCTACACTTTGTTTTATCTTATAACATTATGGCGGGGCGGTGAGCCTAGTGGTTAAAGCGTCCGCTCGTCACGCCGAAGACCCGGGTTCGAATCCCCACATGGGTACAATGTGTGAAGCCTATTTCTGGTGTCTCCCGTCGTGATATTGCTGGTATATTGCTACAAGCGGCGTAAAACCATACTCGCTCACTCCAACATTGGATTGTTGAAATAAAGTCTGACTGGTAACGCTGGTAATTAAATCAAATGTTTACAGTGGCTTTTGGTCTATTACAACAATATGACAAAAGAAACTGCACACTGGCTTAATAAATTACTGAAAATCGAACTTAGATATCTTGGAATAGTAATAATGATAGTACTACTACTGCTACTTTCATCCTGAAATGATGTTCCAGAAATGTCCTGGTGAGACAAAGGTAGAACAAGAAAACCACTGGCTTCCAATTGACCAGGAGTTGCTGATATGCTTACATGTATGTGCATGTGCGATCGTGCGTATGTGTTATTTCTTTGCAGAGTGCACCGATGTGATGATTTTACGACCTCTTCAATAATATTATATCCGTCGAGACCATAGTGACATACCCTCACTTCTCATTGTCTATTATCCTTTCATCCTGAATACTGCTATGACATAATGCACCAGTCCGTCCACGCACCTTTCTCTGTAACAACTTACATAACTACATCATTGGAGAATAATCCCATGAATAAACAGGTGTTATTAAACTCACAGATCCGAACTTGAATCGTGTTTATATATTTATATGACCAAGAAAACTCTAGAGAGAGCATACTTCCTTATATAATAGCCGGGTTCGAATCCCCACATGGGTACAATGTGTGAAGCCTATTTCTGGTGTCTCCCGTCGTGATATTGCTGGTATATTGCTACAAGCGGCGTTAAACCATACTCGCTCACTCCAACATTATGGCTTGTTGAAATAAAGTCTGACTGGTAACGCTGGTAATTTTAAAATAGGCTTTATGAGTGAGTGAGTTTGGTTTTACACAACTTTTAGCAATATACCAGCAATATCACGGCGGGGGACACCAGAAATGGGCTTCACACATTGTGCACATATGGGGAATCAAACCCGGTGTAACAGGCCAGAGTATACCCCTGTCCCAGACTATACCCGGGGTTCAACTGGGCTACCCCAGACTATACCCCAGGTATAATTTGGGCTAGCCTAGTTTATACCCCGGGGTATATTCTGAACTAGGCCATAGTATACCCCCCTAGCCGAGATTATACCCCTACAGAAAACAAGTGATTAAGGATACTACTATAATTTTGTTGGGCTAGCCTATAGTTTACCCCGAGGTATAATCTTGTGGGGGGGTATTCTGGGCTGCTACACCGGGTCTTCAGCGTGACTTGCGAACGCCCTAACCACTAGGCTACCCACCACCGGCTAAATATGAAGCAAACAAGAAATGGTCATTCACTGGTGATGTATTTAATCCCGGTATAATGGCTGTGTGTCCAGTTTACAGTGCTTCTGCTACCATTTTACTATTAGACATAGATATAACGTTTTGACATCGTTTGTAATTGTGTAGCCAAATTAAGTTTTGAAGTGTTTTTTTAACAGCAATTTAGGTCAGATGCTTCCTGCAAGATACTAGGAGTGCGAAATGCATACCTACAATAACAGGGTAATAATTATGTCTAACAAACTAGAATATTATTATAGATCAATGGCTAAATTCTCTGATGTTAATGAAAACATACTTAACCCAGTATATCCCTATTGTCATGAATGTAGAATAATGATAATCTCCACCTGATTTGATAAAGGTTTCTTGTGTTTTAATTGCTCAGAATAGAAATGATCAGGATGTTGATAATATGTTTTTTTCCAACTGATAAACAACATTTCAAGTGACAAGATACATTTTATGTTTCAAATACTTTAGCAATATAGTGTTAGTGAATTGTAATATCAAGAATCTTCCAATTGCGAAGTCCAGGTTTGATCCAAATTTGAATATATCTTTTTTAACGTGTTGGATCATCAGCAGCAGCGCAAGGCGTGCTGTAATATCTTGTATATGTGACATGGGTCTGGAAACTTAACGGTTTGGAGTTTATCGCACGTGTCTAATTATCTGGCAGATTCAACCTAAACAAAAAGAAACTGTTTGATAACTAAACACGTTATCTCGTCAATGACCTTCACCTTGACATGTTATCAAATGACCTAGACCTTCGTCGAACTTCACCCAATTATCAATCACAACAATAGCCCCAATAACATACGTCACCTGTGTCAAACGTCACACAGCCTTACAATCGATCAATACCTGACCTAAATATATACATAAATTCTAGTTAAAATTGTTTGCAATCACTTCCCAAATAGATGAACAAATCACTGAATAGATAATGAATACATAATTATATCCGTAAATCTTATAATCGTAATGTGCAAGGAAGACTGACAAGACAAATATGTACATTGTATGGAAGCTTATTTTAGCGCCACAGTCTAAATATGAGTGGGTGAGATTAGTTTTACGCCGCAGTCAGCAATGCACTCTGTAAACAATCGAGTCTGGACCAGACAATCCAGTGATCAACAGCATGAACTATAGGTAGATGTATGTCTGAGAGTATCTTCTACGTAGATGTAAGTAGATGACAAGCTGGAAACCCATGCTCACTGGTGCCTGGAGTGTGTAAGGGAGGCAACTCCGCTCAACGGAAAAGTGTACTGCATGTTTAGTGTTCAATGTATTTCACATAACTACTGGTTTCATTACGTATGGGATACGCATATTTCTGGATACATGTGATATATTTCATTCGGTGCATTATTTGAATACCAATATTACACAATGCATGTAAATATTTGCAGGGTAGGGCAAGTGTCTTTATCTGTAAATTACTTGCTGAGAATTGTTCAACCATGTGCAGCATTGATAATGTGTTAAAAACACAAGGTTGAGTAGTTTTCGTTATCTGAGAAAAGTTCACCGTTGAACACTTAGATAATCCCCGGTAACCATATCTCTCCTTGTCTACTCCCATTGTAAGCATATATGCCAACGTCGGCGTTTTGACGACCGTCTGTCTTCCACACTGTCAGAACTCCCGATTCCTATATTTATAGGAATATTACGTGTGTTTGTGTGCGTGTGGCGCTCACATCACAGACTACTTCCTTCAGAATTCGTGACTAGTGTTGGTGCATATTTCCATGGGCAGCATACAAGTCGTTGAACCTACATCTGGATGTTTGTTGCTTGTAAAAATTAATGTCTGAAATCGAACGTGCTGGTGAGTACAACCCCTTTTTTTGTCCAGTTCACTAAATAGCTTGGAGAGAGAGGCGTCTCAACTGGATTTCAAGGATACATATATGAACTGATAATGGCAGTAAGTTGCGGGTGTACATTGGAGTTAAAACATCACAAGATCAACTCAACATAATAGGAGATACCGTTCGGAATATAGTCTAATTTATGTTTTGGAAATACTGCTTTAGTATTGACGTGCAGATTGTTAGGAACTGCCCTACCCTTTATTGGAGGAACAGGTATGCAAGGCGAAATACACGCTGCTAAATTGTATGTTAAAACGTGATATGGTGTTTCCATTAAAACACGTAGCTTACAGCTATTCGACATCAACCTATATGTGAACACGTGATATCAGACTTCCAGCCGACCTGGCCCTTGAAGATCCGGGATAGAATTGGTCTTCAGCAATCCTTGCTTGTCGTAAGAGGCGACTAACGGGATCGGGTGGTCAGGCTCGCTGACTTGGTTGACACAGGTCATCGGTTCCCTGATGTGTAGTTTGATGGTCATGAGGTCAAACACTGGATTGTCTAGTTCAGACTCGATTATTTACAGACTGCGGCCATATAGCTGGAATATTGGAATAGTGCGGCGTAGAAACTAAATTTTCTCACCTAGACGACCTCAGCTGACACTACAACTGCCTTTCTACTGTAACTGGAGTATCATTGGGTGTGGACAGCACCCGCAACTCATTCTTACACTTAACCATGCATGCGGAAGGTTATACTTTCCCCATTACTCGGAATATTCTGACCAGCAAAATACACCCCCTATATCTACTGACCACGTTCTTCACAGGGAAAGTCCAGCATAGCATGGCCTTCTCAGAATGGAGCCCTTGCGATCACGGACAGTTGTAGCGTGTAACCCATGTCCAAGCACCTTGGTCGCCTAGGTAAAGCCCTCTGTGGTAGGACAACTTTACATTCAACCAAAGTCACCGTGACTATCAAAACTATATGGAGGTAAGGGGTCTTCGAGGTGACGAGCGAACGCTCTAACCACTAGTCTACCCCACCACCCTTACCCTTAGGAGAATAATTCCAAACAATAAATACAAAAGAAATATTCTGATCCGACACGAAAACTATGTAATGTATTATTATTTAAAATATCAGTTTAGTTTATATTTGTGTCAACTATCGATGTGCAACAATGCATGCAAAGTAATGAGATGAGTCAGTTGTGGCACACATGTCAAAGCTGGTTATTTACAAACCCTGCCAAGTACGGACGTTTCTAGTTCCCTTCATTTTCTACTTCAAACGTTCTCGCTGTTATTATTGTATGGCTGTCATAATACAAATTTTAACATTTAGATTATTCCTACCTGCGGCTCTTTGACATTGGTCCTTCTTTGTTTCGTCGGCGTTCCAATTCAATTCTAGACATTTCGACCGAACAAGTTTGACATGCGTCACGTCTGCTTCAACATCAGCGTCTGAATTATCCGCATGAAA